TACGAGTAATTGTCTGTTTGATATATCAGCATGATATTAAACTTACCCTGGTTACATTTGAAAATCTGTTGTGATACAAAGAGTTTTCTGTTGTCTGTCAATTTTATATTGCTTTTGTGCAGGGAGACCCTGTTGTTCAGTTGTTGGCTGATGCCTATATATGACTTCTTACATTTTGTGCATTTAAGTACATAAATTACATTTTTGGAGTTGCAGTTTAAGTTTTTATTTATTGTGAATGTTTTTTGGGGGTTTTCAAAAATGTAGGAGTTTCCTTCTATAATGATGTCACAAACCCCACATCTTTTTTTGTTGCATTTTGTGACTCCCTGTATTGTGTGTTGGTTAAACACAGAAAATGTCTCATATCGAGAATATTTAACATTGAAAAACAAAAAGAAAAAATTAATTATTTTTAATAATATGTGGAAATCTATTTTTACCTGAAGACGGTAACAAGACCAGAAACCCGTGTAGTACAATTATGTAAAACAAAGCATAATATTTTTTTCTAAATAAATCCACATTACAACCAAAAACGTTTGCGGCACCTCTCTTCTCTTATATATATATATATATATATATATATAGTTAAGTAATGAAGAACTTGGTAATCCGTATGGGTAATCCCAAGGAGGATGAGATATATATATATATATATATATATATATTAATTACTGTAATTATTGAACAATATAGTTCATGCCACTTTGACAGAAAATTTACCAGTAAAAAATTTGTTCATCACCATATTTTATATGAACGCACAACCTTTAAAAATTTAAAATCAAACTCAATGTTGCTACTGCGCGCTCCAAAAACAATAACTCATTTTCAATAGCATTTTCGGATACAACAATACATATATTTTCGTTGTCCTCTTATTACTAAGAGAAAAAACAAGAACAACATCTATTCTATGCCTGAAGATGTCTGTAGGAACAGACGAAAGCTTGTAGTAAAAATAAGAACTAATACGGCAGAAATTTATATAAACAAGGATCATTTCATTCATAACGGATTCGGAGGTTTTTGTATATTATTTGAATTGTTTACAATGATGGATTTCTCGCCAATTAAATCATTAACCTTTGCATTAGTTTTTGTGTGAATAATTCATGAATATATATATATATATATATATATATATATATATCTCAAATTGCTTCATTCAATTTCATAGTCTCATTTTCTGATAAGGGACAGTTTATTGAGAGAGTTTCATAGAAATATGAAAAAAAGATAGTGATAATCATTAAAATTAGGTATGAAGATCACATAATTTGATGTCTGTTCTTTCTTACCAACTTTCCTTGTTCAGGCAATCAGATTAATTTTAGCTAAACTGCACCAGTTACATTTTTATCAGCTGAAAATGTTACGTTGAAACCTTTAAATTAAATCATGGGATTTTCCCTTAGTTTTACAATCACTTAAGTATCATTTTTGGGATTTCTTGGATGAAGTTTCAAGCAATTTGGATTTAGAAATTAATTGAATTATTGTAATTTTAAGATGCAATAAAATGTTGCAAAGTAGCATCCAATCAGAGAGAGAGAGGAAATGATGAAATCTTCATATCTAAATTGAGAAGCAAAAGTTTAGTTTAATAAAAACCTTATCTTAATACCTTAAAGACAAAAATAATAAACTATTTACTGAAGTACATAACAGAGGACATTAGATAAATTGGGAAGGTATTCATTCTTAAGGTCATTAAGATTTACAGACATGATTTTATAAATTAATAACTTAAAATTCAAGTTATCAAAATCTCAAGTCCACTTTCTTGGACATTCTTTGCAAAAAAATCAATGTTAAAAATAAAAAAATTTTACAGACATTTTGCAGTAAGTAGGGATGCAGAATAAATATTTCGGACATTCTTTCCAAACAAATCCACCACAAGTTCTTTAATCATTAAAAAGTGGTATCTTACTTTTAAATGGGATAAGTAGACAGATTGTTGAGAAATCTATGAAAAGAGCACCTCACCAATGTGCAATAGTGAGAGCCTAGCAAACCATTAGTACAGTAATAAGAGTGATATTCAAGTACCTCTACACTAAGGCAGGAAGTCATGACCGAACAATACCAAAAAGACACTAAAAATCAATATTGCTGCAGAAACGTTCATAGATACATATTTTCAATAAAATAGTACAGAAAGATTTGAAAAGTTCTTGGCCAGATCCAATTCCAAAAATCAGAGAACTATTTTATCACTGTAGCTAAAAAGTGTTTTTACCTTTCATTCATTTTGACAAGCAAAAAAAGATGTAGAATAGAATTTTCAAATGTTCAATTCTGAACAGTCATGAAATTACTGAAGAAAAAATAAAAATCCATAATTGTCTGATGCAGATATTAGGTGACAAGCACTCATTATGTTTTAACTATGAACAATTGTCAACTTCTAGCATGGACATTTTAAGACCCAATACACAGAATGGCCTGGAATTTCTTTGGTGTAAACAGCTGAAATTATTGATCATGCTCATGGGATAAACTTAAGCTGATGGAAGAACCTTGACCCAAGGAATTGTTGAGACATCAGAATTGGGTATGTGGCAGAACTGCTGATGAAAAAATGTTTATAACAAGAACAGTCTATACAGTGGGAGTAATCAAGTTCTCGATGACCAAAGAAATTTAAGTCCAAAAAGATAAGAAATGTATTTTAATGACTGATTATCTTAAGATCCAAACAATGCACTTGATGTGCCCATTAAAAGCAAGTTTTTAAAAGGGAAAGGTACAGAGACCTTGCACATTCTGAATAGTGACCCCCCCCGACCCGTTTCCAAGCATTTGAAAGGGAGAAATTTTTCAAATGATTGACAAAACAGCAATACAGCAGTAGTTCAATAATATATTTTTTTTTTTTAAGTGTTAAAAAAAAAAAAAAAAAAAAACTGATGAACTTCAAAAACACAAGTGAAATATTGATAAGATGCTTAGTCTGACTATAAATAAAGAGAATTTAATAAACGAATCTGAAGTTTTTATGCCACTGTTAATTATTTCCAATTAAATTTACCTAAAACTATTGTAAAATGTTGTCTATTGTAGTTGCTAAATATTTCCCCTTGTAAATAACTAAAAAAAATACTGTCAAAGAATATGAAGTAGTTAGCATTAAGAATATTTATTTTTGAAATTAAAATAAGACTTAAAATCAAAGTCTGCAAAAAGATTTAAACCATCTTATAGTCCCAAGCATAAGATCCAATACCAAGATGGATTCCATACTATGGTCCCCCTATAAATTGTATGATTGTATATTTTTTCATCAACAAATCTAAAAGCAAATACAATAAGAGAAATGCTGGTACTTTACTTGGCTCATTTAAATCCATTATGCATTATTGAATAAAACCAACATCAGAGACTCAATTAATTTTGACAATGATTCACTTATAGTTTCCATAAATTATGTAATAACTGACAAGCATCTTTGCTCCAAATAACAAACAATATGTAACACTTAATACAAATTACTGCTGTTCAGAAATATTGCATTTGTTGAACTTAGATGTAATTCTTTTCTATAGAAATTGATATAATTTTGCATTAAAAGAATGGATCATCCATACAAAGCACAAACCCATAAAATTAATTCCTCAATTAGTCAATCTTTATAAAAAACAGTTGAAAGTAATTTCATGCCAAAAGAGGTGGTTTTAGAAACAATTATGAATTTACAATAACCTGTCAGTATTTTTCTTTTATTTTTAAAGCAATCTGATCCTTCAATTCTTATTGGCAAATAACCAATATTGTTTTCAGCAGCAAATGTGATTTATGGCTCAAGGATTAAACAAAGAAAAAAATTCAACACAAAGAACAGCTGCATAGATCTACATAGAAGCAAATTTCAATCATTGTTTCATATGGAGTTATGCAAAATTGACATGACTCTGCTCCAACAAAAACTAAATTAAAAATTTATCTTTGTACAGGACTAGAGTAAAATGAATGGGCATTATTTTAAGTCGGGATACAACTATCTTTAGTTGATAATCCAAGACGTTCTTTCAGGTGATAAGCCAAAACCCTTTCTGCTGTTCCTATGCTCCTTAACTTAGTCTACCAATGACAGTTTATAGAGAATAGTAGGGTTTAATATCTTACCTTTTGCAGCCATATTCTTAGTTAAAATTCTATAAACTCCAGCAGCCTTAATACTGCCTTTCACAAGGTAGTGTTTTATCATTAATGCTATTACCTTTCAGTTACATCTCTTCTATAATTACCATTGGTTAATGAGAGGAGTGTATTGAGGAATATTTGGCTATGACAGGTCAGCTAGTACCAACAATAATAATGTCATTTGTGTAAATATTATTATGTAGTCAGACTAGGCAGATTTGAGGTGAAATTATAGTTTACAGTAACAAGTCCTGGAGATAAAATTAACTTCTGGAAGAATTCAAATTCATATATAAGATGAGGTTTTGAACTTTTTCTTTTTTAAGTATCTCTTATATGGTGTCAAATATGATACAAGCAGGTAAGATATTTTAACTGGGATATCAAGAGTGCAATCCATGAAAATCATATTGAAAGATTTAAATCTTTGGCAAGAAAGGAATACCAAGGTCTGTCTAGAAATGAGATATTTTTCCACTTTTCAACATTCACTTTTTTTACCCACAGCCTAGAACCTCTCATTTCAAAAGTTTGTTTTTTTTTTAGAAATTGCAAGGAACAAAGAACTGGTTGACATGTAATACCAACACTTCAAACTTGGCCAGGAATCTGTTGAAAGTAATCTACTTTCTAGAAAGCCTTCAACAATCAATAGCACATGTACAAAATGAGAATGGACATAAAATAAGCATCTGAATATTATCACTGCCAAATGAAGATATCATGAAGAATATATAGCCCAGTCATGGGAAAGTAATTTCAAAGAGTTTTCAATATGTAACGTTTGTAAAAATTAAGTTTAGGAAAATTTGTACCAGGTGGATCATTTAAACTGAAAAATTACTTACTGTTTTCAATTGTTGGATCATATCCCTCATCAAATTTACAGGTTACAAAACGTAACACAAGTGACGTTTTTCCTGAAAAAGAAAAAAAACATTTTCTTTTAAAAATATTTCTATCAATTTCTCCCTATTAAAAACAGTTTTATGAACTAATCTACATTGATGATGCTGTCAATAAGGAAAAGTAACAAAGACATAGAAATAAATAAAGTAGAAAATGAAATATTGTTTATTGTAAATGAAGATATAGAACCAGTTTGTTTTCAAATATGTCTTAATGCAGATGAATACAAATTATCTAATTACCAAACCAGTTGGACTTCACAATAATAAATTGAATAACATTTTAAATCAAAAACTAAAAGACAGCTTGTCTCTGCTCAAAAGATATAACTATAGTCAGACCTGAAAATTTATAAAAATTATTTATGTGAACATAAGATAATCACAGATCTACTAGCAAACATTCTATATTCAAATACTTTTCATATTTTTTTTATTACAATTGTTTCACACATTTGGACATGAACTTAAATTTTTACTGCTCTATAAATTGTGAAAAGCATATATAAATGTTTATTAAAATCATATACATTTTATAAAAATTCATACAAGTATTCTTGTCTAGGTCCTGACAAGTGAGAAATCCCCAAACTGAGTCAACATCCAATAAACATTGTAAACTTTAATTACTTCCAAGGTTAAATACATTTTTTATATAACAAGAACAATTTTGGAGGAAAGATGAATGACAAAGTGGAAAAAGGTTTTGTGACATATTTCAACTTTTAGGACTCCATCGGACTAGGTTTGTTTATGTTGATGCAACTACATGTGCACACAAAGGAGAGATGCTTGGAATTTAATTTTTTTTTTTTTTTTAATTTCTTATTTTGGGTATATAATACAATCAATTTCATTTAGATTTTTTTTTTTCATTTTTGTTTCCATCATCTTTGTTATTAAATATCCTAAATGGTGATAACAAAAGAGCTACCAAAAATCATGAAATGTAAGAATTAAAGCACTTTCTAAACATTTTCATCTGAGTAAATTGTTTTCTTTTTAATTATAATTGTGGTCACTCATTATGGTGAGTAACAAATGCATTTAATGAATTTTTTAAAATGTCTTGTGTTCATAAAATCTTTTATGGTTCTTGAGGTTTCTCCAATATATTCTTTCTGGAAATCCTTACAAGTGATAGAGTAAATTCCTCCTACAAGTTTTGTTTTTTGTTTTGCATTAAGCCTTTTATTGTTTAGATGTAGTTATGACAAATTTTATGTTGAGTTTAGATAAATTCTTTTCAATTTTAGTTGTGATAGAGTTAGTGGGTAGAATATATATATATATATATATATATATATATATATATATATATATATATATATATATATATTATTATTATTATTTGTTGGTTTTGTCAGGAGGTACTGCTTTTTTATTCTGGAATATGAAATAGGTATTAGAGGAGTTTGAAAGTGTTTTTCTTCATGTGTGTGCATATATATATATATATATATATATTAGTGGATAGTCAAACAAGTGTATCCACCAAATACAACATTTATAGCAGCAAAAAAGGATTGATTACTAATCAATTAATTCCAGAGAAGAGAGAATATTATATATATATAACATTTTTTTCCACCAGCACTGCACAATGTTACACATTTAACATGGAAGTTTATAAAAAAAAGTTAGCTGAAGCCTGTACTAAAAGTTTTAATAAATACATACTAAGAATGTATAAATAAAAAAATATTAAATCAAATATATTTCTTATTTACATATCTTTTGCTAAAAAGAAGAAAAAAAAAAATGGGGGAAATTAATTTTTTTTTTTTCCTCTTTTGATTGAAGTATTTATGCAACTCAAAATTTTAAAGATTTTAACTTGTACAAAAATTAATATATAATGGTCTACAAATCCTACATGGTCTTAGTTTTTATTTAAGGAGTATGGTGTTAATGCTAACAACTCATTTTGCACTGACCTTCAAGTGCATAGCATTGAAAAAGAATTGTTTCAATCTTTGATCAGTGATGTAATTGGAGTTTTTATATATTTTTATGATTCAATGAAATATGGCAAATGATTCACTTTGTAACATTTTTAAATGATTCACTGTACTTTGGTTTTTAATAATAAAAAATAAAAATGAAATTTGAAAGACATGAAATTAATCTGCATGTGAAAAATCATGAAAAGAATGTTTAATTTATTTCCACCATAAAAACATTCAAATAGAACACATACAGTGAATAGAACAATAGCCTGATTTGTAACTACAACAATTACATCTTTCCCACCAGTGCTAGAGGTCAGGGTTCAAGCCCAGGTGAAAATCAGGACAGGCAACACACTTGGAAGATTCACACTTTTTTTTTTTTTTTAAATTCCATCTATGCAAAACAATGTACAGCTGTTAAGCAAAGTAAAAATTAAATGTAACTAATTTTGTATAATTTATATATTTTTTTTTTTTAAATAAGTCTACAGTTTAGAGTATTATGATACAAAAATAATAGAAAGTTTACATATCATTAGTTTTGACATTTGGGCATAAACATCTGTTGCTGAATAAAAATCTAATAATCAGGTTTGATTTTTGATTTGGGCTTTATGGCTTAAGATTCTGCAGGTTATTCAAAGCCAGAAAAATTTTTATTTTTTATAAAATAATTTTTTGGAGATAATGATTGACTGATACAAGTAAGACTAATTAACCCATAGCTGGAGGGAGAAGAGGTGGATTTATACCTTTTCCAAGAATATTCGCATGTAAGTGAATATAACGAACCCAACTGGAATTGGCTCTCCAATTTCCAATCCCTAGCTGTTATCATGATACCACCTGTATTTCCAGGCAGTCACCCACCTAGGTACTGATCAGGCTTGACATTGCTTAACTTTAGTGATCATACAAGAACCAGTATTTCAATGTGATTTGGCTGTAAACCTAATCATGGTTGAAAATTAAATATAGTAAATTGAAGGAATTAGTTTTGTCTTAAAAAGTGAATTGAAGAAAATGTAATTTTTCTTTAAAGTTAGCTTCGTCATACAATTTTACTAATGCTATAGTGAATAGTTTATTCACCTCACCCACCTGTCTATTACGGTTAAATCAAGTGGCAATTCTTAACATACTCAGAGAAAAAGCAAAAATAATAAAGTAGCAGAAAAGAATAAAAGGAAAAGTAAATAATTATTGAGAAAAGAGAAGACAACTAGCAACATATTTTGTATATCCATTGCTGTTAATATGATTGCAGAGGTTTGTTTTTATTGATAGTCATAAGTAAGAAGTTTTATATGCCTTTTATTATAGGTGGGGGTGCAAACAACTAAATAGATCTGAGGGAGTCCAGAATTTCACATCTACACAAATATTTCAAAAGCATTCCTTAACTTCTATGTACAGAATTTTGTCAACATTCTTGAATACTCAAAACATTTCAGATTATCCACTTTGTATTCAAAACATCTAATCAAGTGAAAAGACTTTCAGTAAATGGAAGAAAAAAAAAATCAATTGACAATTGAGATATATATATATATATATATATATATATATATATATATATAAAAAACCTAGTGGGCCAGACAAACCTACCCAGGTTTCACCTAAGCGGATCATCAGTTTAGATAAATTCTTTTCAATTGTAGTTGTGATAGAGTTAGTGGGTAGAACAATATATATTTTTTTTTTATTAGGTATGTTTGTCTGGCTCACTAGGTTTATCTAGGTCTGCTCTATGGTTGTATTGAGCTCTTTTAGTTAGTTGTTTACTCGTGTTGGGGTTTTTTCTTTGGGCTTTAAACCTGTATCTGTGCAATTTTTTTCAACAGACTTTCATGTTCCTAGCTCTTTCTTTTTTTAAAACCCTTTTTCTTTCAAGATTGATTTGATTATTAGCAAATCAAAAATTCAAAGGTTTTTCTAAAAGATATATATATATATATATATATATATATATATATATATACACACACACAGGGATACCCGGCATTGCTCAGTAGATCTCTGAATAATAGCTTATTATTGACAATTTAGTAATCTATTTCAGCCATCTTATGGAAAATAATTTTTTATTCAGTCTTTAAAAATAAACTTTGTTGTGTTTTGGTTTGTTACAAAATAACTAAATTTAGAAAAATATCACACTCAGGGGCTCTGAGCTTCCCTATATCTTTATTCAAAAAGACACTAATTTAAATAAAATATAGTTAAATTCTTAAAATAATATTCAATATGACTAATATTGACCATAACTCATGACTGTCTCTGCTAATTTTTATTTAACTAAAGTTCTTTTTTCTTTTCAAATACAAATATAACTTTAAATTTAAACATAATCGATGTCCAGAACTAAATCATACTTATTATAAAACTCAGGTTGTGTGTGTGTGCGCATGTGTGTGCCTGTACGTTTATATATTGGATCAGATTTCCTACATTTTTCAACCGATTTCAACAAAACTTCACAGAACTACGTAAAATTACCTTGCTGTGGTTCTAACAGCGCCAAAAATTGGAAAGACACAATTAAGAGGCATCGCTATCGAGAATGAAAGGGGGACAACTCATATCGAGTTATACTTATTGTGTGTGTGTGTGTGTGTGTGTGTTCATTTATATATAGGATCGGATTCCCTACATTTTTCAACCGATTTCAACAAAACTTCATTTTATTTTTTTTGGCAGGTAGTGTTTCTTATTGTCTTGCACACTTTTTTTCTTTATTTTTACATTCAGAATGCTTTAAAAATTCCATTTACAAGACAAATGTTTATAATAAAATTCTATTCAATCGGTAGACTCATAGCGATTGAAAACAATGTTTTTGTTTGAGTTTGACCAATTCATAAAAAAAAAAATAAAAAAAAAAATTAAGACATGCGTGTCCGTCAACCTTAAACAATAATCTTTGTCAATTTTATTTTTCAGTCTTTATGATGGTTGATACTTGATCTATCTCTTACTGTTACATCCCCGGCCAACGCCGGGCTCTACTGCTAGTTCTCAATGTATCTTGCTTCTACTCTACTTCAAAATAGTAATTAA